GCAGCGGCAAGCGGAGCAGCAGCAGGACGACTGAGCCAGTACGGCGGCCATTGCCGCCTGAGGTACCTGGGATGCCGGAGGACCTCTCCTCCCTCCCTCGTCAGTCCTCTCTCTCTCTCTCTCTCCTCCTCCTCCTTCTTCATCTTTTTCTTCTTCTTCTTCTTCTTCAGATTGGAGACTATACTAGTTGGACATAGATCAGAGTTGGACTTCGGTGATAGGAGACTGTGGTACTTACCGGATTGGAGATCGTTGGGGTTGATACTTGGCGACATCATAGTTCGGACACCGGTTACATTTGGACTCTGTATCTCCGACATTGGTGACCTATGGTCCTCGACATTTTGATCTTGTTGGATGACATTTTGGACTACCATAWCGGTGACCTATCAGATTTCTATCTCGGTGACTTTCAGTGCTGTCTACCTGCMCCACCTCCTTCGTCTCTCCTCCCCCATTCATCTGTGTATGTCGTGTACGGGGCTGAGCATCTTCTCTGTATGGCTCAGACCCCACCATCTCACGATTGTATGTGTGTGGAGTGATGCTATGTAAGTCAGTCTATGTGATCTGCTGCTGTAGCTCGGTGCCTGCATCTAGGTAAGTGACTATGGCACCGAAGAAGTCTGCGTGTCTACTCATCGCGTCTGCGGCAATGTTGTATTTGCCCTTGACCGGTTTCAGCTCATCGTCAAACTGATCTATCTCGCCAGCCCATTTAGTCAACTTAGGGGTGATCCGGGCTTGGGTTTTCAACCAGCGTGTCGTGGTCAGAGTAGACTTCAAAGTGCCTTTCTAGGAGATAGTGTCGCCAGTGGTTCAACGCGTCCCTCAAGGCGAATAGCTCGCGCTCATATGTCGACGCAGCGATCTTCTCACTAGGCAACCTACAAGACATGAACTCGACAGGCCAGTACCTCTCCATCGTTCTGCTGGAGTACGGCGCCAATTCCATATTGGCTTGCGTGAGTCATGACAATGACCGGAAGTGATGGGTCTGAAATTTTTAAGACCGGGTACTCAATCAATGACTTCTTCAATTTCTTGAAGGCTGACGTACAATCTTTGTCCCAATTCCAAACTGTCACCTTCCTCAGCAGTTTAGGCAGTGGTGCAGCGATCATTGTGAAGTTTCGTACGAACTTTAGGTAGTAATTGGCCAACACAACACACATAGACCGACCGCAGTTCGGTCAATGTGTGTTGTGTTGGCCAATCCCGGACTGCTGCGATCTTCACGTCTTTTGGTCTAACTCCATCTCCATCTAACACGTGGCCCAAATATAGCACTTGACGTTTCACCCATTCACCCTCCTTCAGGTTCACCTTGAACTTCACAGTGCGCAACTTTTCTAAGATCAGATGCAGATGCTGCTGGTGCTCCTCTGTAGTCTTACTAAATATGAGAATATCGTCTACGAATTTGTCTAGCCATTCACAAAAGAGATCGGTCACACATCTTTGAAGGTAGCAGGTGCAATCGTCAGACCAAACAACATGACCACAAATTTGTAGTGGCCACAATGACTTCTAAAAGCCGTCGTGTGCTGATCTTCAGGTTGTACGTCTATCTAATGGTAACCCGACTTCAAGTCAATCTTGGAAAAATACTTGCATCCCTGCACCCTATGGTCATCGATTACAGGCAAAGGTTCAGCGTTTTTCAATGTAATCCATTCAAACCCCTATAGTAGATGCACATTCATAGTTCGCCCTCCTTAGGCACGAATAGGACGGGTGAGCCATACGGCGATGACCTGGGCTTAATCCACCCCTTCTCTATCAGTTCATCAAGCTGCTTGCGAAGCTCATCGAGCTCTTTGGGAGACATTCGGTAGATGGGCCCCTTGGGAGTTTTGCTACCGGGCTCTATCTCTATCCAGTGCATGATTTCCTTCACTAACCGGTCTAACGTACACTATGAAGACTTGGTCAACCAAGTCCGCCTTGACCACGTGCTTGGCGAACGCGAAAGCACCCATACAGCAAAGGGATAGACATGACTCTACTCCGAACTCATGAAACAACTGCATTTTCTTTTTGCCTCCTTCAGGGCTGGGCAGCCAGCACTCGTGCCCATTTTTACATCAGCCCTTGCAGCCTCTCCCCAATCCGATCCTAGAATAAGGTCAAAAGGTAGGCTATCCTCTACTAAGAGGGTCAAGGAGTGCATAATTTTCTCTACCTTGTTCCCCCCCTCCAATCGAAAGTATGCCTTTACCTCTTCGACGTACTCTTCGACTCTCATTTCGCGATTGTCTGCTAGCTTGCTCATGACCGGCTCGTCCAATAACCTTCATGCCGAGGTTCATCTTTTGCAATTCTTTTCGGCTAATGTAGCTATGCATAGATCCACTATCAACTAATGCGCCTACTCGCTTCCTATTGTCGTTTACTCTTCTTCATTTCGGCCCAAGCTTGGCGACAAGTGATCAGCTCATCACTGATACCTTCCTGTTGTTATTCCAGCGACCTCGTTTTTGTTCCACCTGTGGAGGAGGAACCATGTCCACCTTGCGGGGAACCATAACCCCTACCTCTCACGTAATAGGTACCTTCGCTACTACTCCCTTGGGTGCCACGTCCTCTTCCTCCACCTCTTTCTCGACCTCCTCTTCCTCCTTGTCGCGCTTTTCGCGGGCTGCAGCAGCTGAATAGTCCCCTCCCTTGGCTGCTTGGTTGTTGTTCTTCGAGCGAACTCCTTTCTGTAAGTCCTTCCAGTAATGGCAATAGTTTGCCTCTTGGAGGAATTCAGCGTCGTCTACAACCATCTTACTAAATTTTTCATATGTAATGCCCTCTTCCTTTGTTTGGGCATAAAGTTGGGATCAATGGGATTCGGGAAGTGCCCATGCAAAGTTGTTCAGGATATGCGCTGAAGTGAAACCATGCTTGGGGTACTGCAAGAGTTCATCCATAGTGGGCTTTAGTGCCGACACACTCTTCCATTTTCGATTGGCTATGTTAAAAACAGATGCTCATTACGTTTGGCCAGGTTCTTCTCCTCAAACCGATTCTTTAAGGCCAAGAAGAAATCTTCAATGTGGGTCCGTTGGGAGTATTGTACCATTGATGTGCACCCTGCCTCTTTCATTAGGGAGAGAGCAAAATTTGCAGCATCTCCCCTGAGGCACGAACTTGCCATCAAGACACGGTCCTTGTATGGTATCAGTCATCCGTACAGGTACGTGCCCATGTGTGCCTCCCACTGATAAAAAAATTCTTCCATTTTTCCGTGATAGGTCCATGGGATCTTTCGTTCATATTTTCTCTCCTCTTTCCCCCTTCGAATGGTCTTTCTTCCCCCTTCGGATATCCTTCCTTCTTAGGGCCTTCGCCTCCTTATCCATCGTCACCACCATCATCTCCACCCCCCCCTTCCGACCACCTCCTGACTTCATCGTGGCAAGGGTGTCTATTCATTTCATGGTGAATATTCCTTCCAGTTGTTGTGCATATCCCCTGACGCGCTCACGGCCTTTCTATACGGTGGGCAGCGGTACTCAAGTAGTTATTCCAAGTGTCCTTGAACTCGTGGTTGTGCTGTACGGGCGACAGACTTGTTTATGGCGGCTGGTTAGTATGTAGCCGGGCATAAACCATGAGGGTACAATCGTCTTTCCACTCACCCTCAAGGCCTTTCTGTTCCTTCAACTCGTCGTCAATCTCTTCCCCTTCAGCTTTCAATCTCCTCTTCCCCTCCAGCTCCGCCCTTTTGTTTATCAAGAGCCGTTGATGCAATTCATGCTCTCTTTCCTGCGTCAGAAGTTCCCTCTCAGCATTGTCCTCAGCCGCCTCCAACTTTGCTGTGACTTCAGCTCTCTCGGCCACTGACTCTTCTGCCCACTCATCCTTTTTGAACACGAACTTCTCCATCCATGTCTGGGTATCAACTGGATAGAATCGCAGTTCACTGGACTCTTCCTTTTCGGTCCCCACACCTCCTTCAACCCTATACTTGGGGTTGTCGAGCCTCACCACCTCTTTTTCTTCTTCTTCTTCTTCTTCTTCTTCTTCTTCTTCTTCTTCTTCTTCCTCCTCCTCTTCCTCCTCCTCTTCCTCCTCCTCGTCCTCCTCCTCTTCCTCTTCCTCTTCGATGTCGTCGTCTTTTTCTTTGTCGGCGTCTTCGTTCTTCGTTGTCCTTCTCCTCGTCCTCCTCGTCGTCCTCGTGCTCGTCTTCTTCTTCTTCGTCTTCTTCCTCGTCTTCTTCTTCGTCGTCTTTGTCTTCGCCGTCTTCGTCTTTGTGGTCTTCGTCTTCGTCGTCTTCGTCGTTGTGGTCTTCGTCTTCGTCGTCTCCTCCGCCTCCTCCCTCCTCTCCGTTCCCTCCTCTACTCCTCCCTCTTCTTCTCCTTTCCCTCTCCTCCTCCTTTGCCTTGTGACGAACCACTTTTTGTAATGCGCGATTTTTTACGCGGTTGCAACGAGGGGTCCTAAGCTGGGAAGGTTGGGCCAATTACGGGAGATCGTGCTTGGTGGAAAATTGCATCAGTGCCCTTGCTTTTTTGTCTTTTTCGTCGCTTCTTTTCATATGACTGGGTTCGGAGCTGGGTGTGTCCTGGGACAGCCGGTTGATTGATTGGTCGGCTGATGGCTGGCGCGCCACCGCACGCGCGATTAATAAATGTTGACGTTGTTTCTTTCGTTTCGGTTTCGATCTTTTAGGCGCGGACATCGCGCAGGAATTTGCTTCGTTCTTTTTTGAATTTTCTTTTGAATCTCTTTCAAATTTTGTCGAGCCCCGATAGCTCTCGGAATTTCGGACTTCTCCCCTCAAGTTCGTGCTTTTTGATAGGAATTTAGGAATTCAGTAATTAGGATTTTTCTGCCGCGCGGCGCCTTTTTGTGTACTCGCTTCTTCATGCGGCTGCAACGGTACTCTGATTAGCGGGCGCCCTCAATCGTGTGTGTAACTGTAATTTTTTGGCGGGCACCATTGTAACCATATCTTTCTTCTTGCACTTCGTCTCTCCCGCCCTCCCTCTCTTTTTTTTTGCTTGGATTTTTGTAAGCCGCGGGTTGCATGCTCGGATCGATGCGTGGAGAAGGGCTACGTCCCCCACGTTGCGGCCTGATCATGCAGAACGCAGGCGCTCCCTCTCTAATCCTCGTTCTAAGTCCTGGTAATTTCGTGTTCTTCGCGCATACATGCACACTATAAATTCCGGTTGCGCGATTAGTCAGCTCTCTTAACCTGTTGTTGGAAGCTCGGGGTTGCGCGATCAGGAAGGGTCGGCACACGAGCGAAGTAAGAGGTGAGTAGAGTAAAGAGTTGGGCGACCCGACGGGCTGGTGCCGAACGCGCGGGATTGACGTGGGCCACGACGCACTGTGGGCACGGGCGAATCTGACGGGTGCGGGAGGACTAAGCGGGGTGACAACTTCGTGGATTGGTGCGTGACGACGTACTGTCCGCATCGGAGAAGAGAGAGAGAGAGGAGGAGAGAGTTGAGGTCGATGGACGCGGATTTGCTGTTTCTTTGTCTCTTCCCCCTCCTCATTTTTGTACATACATTTTGATTGCGGCTCCGGACGGTTTGTCCGTTCTTGTTTTTGTTTCGGCTTTTTGGAATTTGGACTTGGGTTTTTGCTCACACTTGTCCTTGCGATGACCGTCTC